ATTCAAAATTATTACAAAGATCTCAAAATTTTGTAGTTGACACACCAGATGGATCTCTTGATTTAGAGGTAGCTTTATGATTTGAACGAATGAATGCTGCAGAGAAATTTACATCCCGAACTAAAGGTCGACTTACCTGATGGACAAATGCATGCCAAAAAATATTTAGTACTACAAGACTTGATCCTGAAAATGCACATTATGCTGCTGATAACTTCTATATTTATGTTTATAATGGTGAATATATTTATGTAGCAGAAATTCTTGCAGTATTTAAGGTAATTAATTATTAATTTTATTAATTTAGTATTTGTTAATCAAACTAACTATAATTATATTTAGAAACATGGTACATCATATCTTTGAGCTAAATCTCTAGATGGACTAAATGCTAATCGCATTCATGCTATTTTATATAAGCAAGATATTTTGGATCCACATAAATTTCAACGTATTTTAGATCCATCAAGGATTCAATTTGCACTTGAAGAATATTCATTTCGCTTTTTTAATCCTTTAGGCAATATTGAAGTCAGAAGTGAAATTACTTCAAATTTTTTAGGACGATATATTATATTAACGGCAATACAATTACAATTATATCAAAAATCAGTAGAGGAAATTGCTAACATAGAATCGAGAGTTCTGGAAGCTGAAGCATTGATGAAAATGAAAAAAAGTAATCAAGAAAACGATTCAAAATAGTATTAAATTTTAGTTAGTATTTTTTTGTAGTTTCTTGTACAGAATTGAATTTTTCAAGAGTTTGGTATACAGAATTGTGATTGTTAATAAAAATGTTTAGTGTACAGATAATATAAAACTTGAAGTTTAATGTACGGATTTATAAAATTGGTTTGTACGGAAATGACCTTTATTTGCAGAAGGTTCACTAATAAAAATGTTATGTATTCAGGGGTCCTGTTCTAATGGTCTTTCTCGTTCATTATCATCTTGTTTATTATTGTCATAAAGAAGGCGTTTGGACTTCTTATTACTGGTCATGTTTATTATTTAAAGTAAATAATTAAGTGTTTATAATATCGAGCTAGACGGGGAAAGATAATAAAAAGTTAAAAATCGTAAAATATGTAAAAAATCTCTTTATATATAAATTTGAAGTATAATTCTGACTAATGACGTGATATATGCAAATTTAATCATTAACAGTAAACAGTTAATATAAAGCTTTAATTTTGAGTTGTTAATTAAATATCTATTAAAACTCATATATATAAACAGTATATTATGTATAAGCATATAATAAATATTAAACAAATTGATATTGTTGTAAATTACTTACTAGCTTTTTCCCAAAGTTTAAAATGCCAAGACCAAAAAAAAGCCGTATTAATAAAGATCGTTCTAATATTACCGAAACTGGTCCTAAAACTAGAGATTTAGTTAAATGTAATTGCATGTTATGTTGCCACGATAGTAAATGGGTAGATCCTAGAATATTTGAAAGACATCAAAATGAATATAATAAATATCAGACAATGGCTTCTGAGTCTTATAAATCTTCTCAATCAAAAAATCCAAAAGTAAATGTATTAATGTGGCATCAACTTCAAAAAAATATCAAAAAGAAAGGAAAAAGAAAAAGAAATCATACCAGCTAAAGAAAACCAAACTTTAACTTATAGTTCTTCTAATAATGATAATGATTATACACTGATTGATATACCAAAAAGGAAAAAATGATACTATAAATTTTGTGATACGATTTCTGATCAGAATAATAAAAAAGAATCAAGCCCAATTGAGGAAGATTATAAAGATGTTGAAAATACGGTTGATAGTGAAAACTCTATTAAAACAGAACAAGAAGACGGTTATAATTTAAGCGAAGATGATATTCTATTTGAAGATTTCACTGCTTCTGATTTTAACGACTTTGATGATTTTGACTTTAACTTAAATATGAACATAAGCTTTAATGATGCATGAATACTAATATGGATTCTTAAATACCAGTCAAGATTTCGCCTGTCGGACGTAGTTATAGATTCACTAGTTAAATTTTTTAGAATGGTTTTACTGGATATTGATGATATAAGGTTTAAAGATTTTTCAACCAGCTCTTACATGTTAAGAAAACTGTTAGGAATCGGTAAACAAACAAATACATATGCGGTGTGTTCAGATTGCAATGCTTTGTACAAAATTTCTGAAATTTTACCATCCGGTCAATCAAAAGATGGATTCAAATGTATCCATGTAGAATTCCCTAATCACCCAAGGTAAAATCAAAGACGACCTTGTGGAGCCGAATTAACAAAGTTGGTTCCAGCAATAAAAGACAACATCAGAAAGCCAAAAATGATATATCCTTTGCCATCCTTAAAAATGCAATTAACTATGATGTATCAACGTCCAGGATTTGAAGAACTACTACAAAAATGGACAAATCGGATCACTAGAACTGGCCTACTTACAGATATTTATGACAGAGAAGTTTGGAAAACCTTTCCGTCATCTCTTGATGATATGAATTCCCGATTTTTTACACATGACACTGCTGATTCGAATCTTGGAATCATGCTAAATTTGGACTGGTTTCAACCATTCGAAGCTTCACTTTATAGCACAGTTGCTATTTATGGAGTAATATGTAATCTTTCCCATGAAGTTAGGTTTAAACGAGAAAATATGTTATTTCTTGGACTTCTATCAGGACCAAAAGAAGTAAAACTCCATAGGATTAACCATTATCTTAATCCTATTATTACCAAATTATTAGAGTTCTGGAATGGGATTTATTTACCTCAAACCAATATGCATCCGATAGGAAGGAAAATTCGTATTGCAGTTATTTGTTGTTCGAGTAACATTCCGGCTGCAAGGAAACTGTGTGACTATGTTTCAGTATTAGTTAGTTGCTACTGGTGCTACAAAGTAGCTAATGAAGGAAACCTAATTTCGGTGGATTTAATGACATGAACGATTGGTTCATCCAAAAAAACTTAGATGAACATCGACAGAATGCTGAAGATTGGAGGCGTTGCAAAATGAATAAGGAAAGAAAATGTCATGTTAATACAAAATTTGTTCGATGGTCAGAAATGCTCCGCTTACCATATTTTAACCCAATAAGGCATTTAGTCATCGATCCAATGCATTGTCTTTTTTTGGGAATAGCACGTTGAATAATAAAAAAATTGTGGATTGATGGCAGAAAATTAGGAAAATATGATCTTGAAAAAATGGAAAAACGAGCAAAGGCTATAAAATTACCTACCGATCTAGGCCAGATCCCATATAAAATCACAACTGGAGAAGGCTTTTCTGGCTTTACAGCCGACCAGTGGAAATCATTTATAATGATTTATGCCACTCCGATTATGTGGGATCTTTTAGATAGTGATGATCAGAAAATTTTAGCTAACTTTATTAGAGTCTGTTCATTACTTGTATGTCGAACAATTGATAACAATGCATTGGATGAGGCTCATTCCTGATTGTTAACTGTAGCCCATCTAATCGAAGAAAATTATAGACAAGAGGCAATAACTCTAAACATTCACCTTTCTCTACACCTTACAGAATGTTGCCGAGACTATGGTCCTCTATGCTCTTTTTAGTGCTATGCATTTGAGAGGTTGAATGGAGTTTTGAGTAAGATTTTAAAGTAATAAAAACTGAATAAAGAATTATGCTTATATGACAGTTTATTATAGGTTCTCTTTCTAATAGTGGGTGGCAAATTGAACCAGAATTGTTACGAATTATTATGCAAAATTGCCACCTAGATGATTTAATATCCTCCAATTCAGATAATAAAAAACTAGTTGACGCACTATCTATAATTCAACCTTGGTCAATAACCGGAAGTTTATCAGAATTTGATTCTTTTGAACTTTACCAGTTCATGCAAGTATTCTGTCAAAATGTTGATGAAACTATTACTGAAAGCGAAGATTTTCCTAGAAAAATGCTTACTCCAAGAAAAAATCGGATATCACTGCCTGACGATATATACGAGCTTCTGGTAAAATATTATAATGATTCGTATGATGAATGGAACTTTGTATCGATTGCTGAGCTAGCTACCAGTAGTGATTTATCATCATATTATACCGATTCACAACATTTATAGTCGTTTTATATCAAGTAAATTTACAGTAGGTACTCAGAATCCAACCACTTATATGGCTGTTATACCAATAAATAGACGATTTTACTTATAAAAATTTATATTATCAATAAGTATATTTATAACATACAATCAGTAAATAAATTATAGTACACAATCGGGTAATAAATTTACTTTTAGAATATTTGAAATGAATTGATCATCAATCAGTAAATTAATCGGGAATTAACCTGATTAATATCTAATTGAAATATAAACTGAATTTTAACTATTGAACAAATCAGCTAACCAATCAAAAAAAAAGTTACAGATCGGGAACGTACCTGATTGAAATTTGTTGTACCTAATTAGGTACAATGATTTTATCATTCCTAAGGTACAATGGTATTATCATTCCTTAGGTACGACGATTTTATCATTCTTAAGGAAAGATGCATTTATCGTTCCTTAGGTACGATAGTTTTATCGTTCCTAAGGAACGATAGTATTATTATTCCTAAGGTACAATGCATTTATCGTTCCTTAGGGATGATTGTTTTATCGTTCCTTAGAGATAATGGTATTATCGTACCTAAAGAATGATGGTTTTATCATTCCTAAGGTACAATGCATTTATCATTCCTTAGGGACGATGGTATTATCATACCTAAGGAACGATGGTTTTATCGTTCCTTAGGTACAATGCATTTATCATTAGGGTTGGTAAAGTCTTAAGTCCTGGACCTAAAAACTTAGTTCTTAGACTAAGTCCATAGATTATTAGGTCCTATTTTTTAAACTAATAAAGACTTAAGTCCTAACCAATCATATTAAAATTTATTTATTATAATACAATATAAATTTTTAATTAAGTT